ATATATATATATATATATATATATATATATATATATATATATATATATATATATATATATATATATATATATATATAAAAGTGAATAAGCAAGAAAGAAAGAAAGAAAGAACAGTGCTGCGTGGAAAGAAGAAAGAAACTGCCTGAAGTGGAAAAGAAATAGAGAGAATAAGAAGCGAGACGAATGTAGGAAAAGAGAAACAAAAATGAAGAGAGAAAGAGAAAGAGAAAGAGGGAGATGGTAGAAGTGGCGGAAACTTGGAGCGGTGGAGTGCGGATGGGGACAAGGATGAACCACCTTAAAGGGGATAGCATGAATCATAAGTAATCAATATTATATCTACGACCGATATAGAAAAATTTTGGACATTTAGCTCCTGTAATATCTACAAAAGGGAGCAATTTCAAAATTTTATAACATTTCTGAGTATTACTTACGATTGTAACAACCGAATATTTTCAACATACAATATATTTTAATTAAAATAATGTATTTTTCTGATATTTTTAATAACGAAGATTTACTTTTTGGATCAAATTTTTCAAATTTCTTTTACACGTAATTTAATATTTTTATGTATATACTTTTAATCAGTCGTACGTAAAATACGTAAAGCTTAAAAATGATTTGGATCGCTCTCTTTAAATACAATAGAAATTTGTACCCGTGGAAATATAATAGAGTATTTATTAAATTTCTTGAATTAAGATTTATGTAAGTATTTAGTAATGTTTAATATATTTGCATTATTTTAATGTAAAATAATAACCATGATACTGATGTTATTAAACAGTGTGAAATAATATATATTAGTATGTAACATAAAATATTACTCGAATTGTGTAAAAATAATTCATATATACATATATATGCTTTGGTATATTTTTTTGTAATTAATTTGATAATTATAAGAAGTTATATATATATTAGATTCATATAAAATTTGTAAAATAAAAATGACATCGATGCAAGAACATATAAAAACACAATAATTTATTCTTAAAAAGTTTATCATGTCAATACATAATGTATTGTTGATAATATTATCAAAAGACGATTAATAAAAATTATACAATAAGTATGACATGATATTAACTATTTTGTTGTAAAATTTTCTGTCACATAACACGAACGTTGCTAATACCGTTATGCAGTTTTTCGTAATGTTCTAACTACGTATACATATAGATACATAGTATGTTCACAAAATGTCCTGTAAAACTAAATAACACAATGTTTAAAAATAATAAATTTGAATTTTATACCATGATATTGATCTCTTCGTAATTATCTTATTTCTCAACTTTCTTTTAGAAATACTATATTTTTAATATTCTATATACTTTTTAATTTAAACGATATTCATATCAGATTACATATCTCGAAATATTTCAAGTCATTATTTAAAAAAATATATGAAGGAAAATTGATTCTAAGAGATCTAATCTATTGATCCATACAAACCTTTTTTAATAATTTTATTAAGTTTCATATTGATACTTTTCACTTTTAAAAGTTGTAATCCGTTGAAACTATCTGTATTTATTCCCCTTTTTTTTCTTGCTTAATATTTCTTTCAATTTATTTGAGTGAATTATTTAGTATTCTATTTTTGTAATATTATTTCAATAAGGCAATATCATTACAAGACAAATGATAATTATATTTTATATGTACATATATACACCTATAATTGTTATCATTTGACATTTCACAAATTCAGTACATAAATTTAGATAATAGTCTGTTTTCAGGCAGATACATTTAGTTCTTCATTAAATCGTAGTGGTTGACTTGTATGGTGCAATCCATATATTTGAGCCAATATATTAATAGCTGCTACATCCTTTGCCTCTGCAATAGTTTCACCAAAACCTACAAATATAATTATTTATTAGAAGATATTTATGTTTTTCAAATATAAAAGTATTACCTGAACCCAAATATTCTTTGTTTGCATAAATTCCAACATGATAGACTGATAAAATTGTGTTCTTTCCAGCTTGTCCAATAAGCCTTGCTTCTATAGATATTTTTCTTTCTGCAGAAATCACATCATTTAACAACTCGAATGGTTTAGTTGGACACCATATTTCAGTTAGGTCTTTGTTTGCTAGTCCAACTATTAAAAAATCTCGGACAAAAGCACTTGCGTGATCAACATTAACGCTTTCAGCAAGTGCTCCTACAAGTGCTACAAATGTTTGTGCCAATGTTTGTTGGGATACAGGATGCTCCTGAATAATATATAATAAAAGTAATAGTTTATAACTGTATAATGTACAAAATACAATAAAATAATTAAATTATATACAAACACTGGTTAAAATAATGTCTTTTGTCCCAATGTGTGAAGATGCTGTAGCTAACATTTGTTCAGACATAAGATAATCATGAAGTGCCCTAAAACACATTTGAATATATTAGAAATAGATTTAGAACTTAGTTTATGTAATATGAAATATTTGTAAAACTTTGTTCTTATTACAGCTCAAGTATTTTTTTATAATAGCTTATGGGTATAATGTAGTTTTTACATACGTAATACCAACTTCAGGAAGACGTGGTAAACTTTTCTTTAAATATTTCTTTACAATTTCTGAAGTTATTTCTCTTCCTTTCTCAATATATTCTTCATTATGTGATATATCAAATTTAGGTTCTTCTATACCCATTTCTTGCTGCTTTTTTAATTCATCAAGAATATATGATTTATGTGTAAATGCTTGATTCAACTTCTCTGTGTCAAATTTTTCTGACAGTCGTGTATTAAACGCATATATTTCTGAATTTCTATTCCATTCAATGAAATTACTACGTTTGGATTCTGGTTGAGCTGGCAACCTCCTCTTTCTTCGGGTTATTTCTTTTTGAGTTGGAGAGACCCATCGCTTAATATATCTGTAACCTACATTTGCAGTTAAGACATTGTAAATCTATGTTTTTTTTATACAATTAAAACTTTTATCCAAATAGTTACCTCCATAATTTACATGCTTTATATTAAGAAGACTTTGCAAATATAATTGTAATCCATTCATGTTTGCAAGTATGAATGAATTTATTTTCAAAATATTTCCAATTTAAATAGGAATTGTTTCTATTAACAGATTAATTAATACATTATAACATAATTTCATTTAATTTACTATCGTTTACAATATAATTATAATAATTATAACAATATCAGACGATGATTACATGTATCTCAAACCGTGATTCTAGTTTATAAAGAATCAAAATCCAATGTTGAATATCCGTCTTAAGAGGATAGAAATGTGATTACAAATCTGTTCTTATATTCCCGATGCAAATATTTTAAATATTATAAAATTTCGCATATTTTATGATAATTTATATTAAATATCGTACGTTATGTAAAAATATTCAAAAAATATTCAAATTCAAATCTAAAAGTATAAAGAGCATTTATACATTTAAAATTTGAGAAATATAAAAATTTATTAATAATAAATTTTGTTCCTTAAACTCTAACAGAACATCTATTAATATTTCTATTTAATTAAAAATTTGTTGGAAAAATTGACTTTAACATTTCATGTAAATAGAACTGAATCAAACAATTTTTTTATCGGATCGTGCATCTATGTTTTTGTTATTCTATGGTGAATTTAAGAGATATGAAAGTACTTATCAAAGTAGATAATGTGTCATTAATTGAAGCGCATATTTTTATAAAATTTATGAAGCTAAAATTGTTTGACATCTTAATAATTATATCCTATAGCAATAAATTTCATATAACAAAATTATTAAAATCTTTTATTATATGAGAAAGTCAGTAAATGTATGTTTACATCAATTTGTGTGTATAAAGTATTCTATATAATATAATTCTATATAATATAAATAAATTACAAATAACTTCACCAATTCTATTTGAAAGTAAAATTTAATTCATGAACATCATCGTGACTCTGTGAAAATAAGTAATATTTAACAATGTTTAAATCAAACCAAGAACCTGACATACCTGCAGCTTTAGGTCTCTTGTCACATTTAACAAACGATGAACTGAAGGAATTATTAAACGACGATTCAAAATTTGAAGACATTGTAAAAGATGTAAAGCAGGTAATTTTAATTTTTATCAAAGGATTTCCATTCTGTTAATTTATAGTTTGTCTGTATCAATGTAATTCAAATTCTCTCTGTCCATTAGTTTAAAAATTTAGAAACAGAAAAAGAATTGTTAATGGCAAGTAACACATCTCTGGCAGAGTTTAATTTAGCAAAACAGCCAAAATTACAAGACAGAAAACAGATGTTAAAGGAACTCAGTGAAAAAGGAAGTAAATTATGCATAAGTGTAAAAGAAAAACTGGATGAAATAAGTATGTATTGATACTAATTATATAACTTCTTGGATAATCAATAACTAATAATTATTATTTGTAGAAAATAAGTCTGGAGAAATGACTACTGATACTGCGTTAGATTTATTGCAAACAGCAGCAGCTGAAATTGAAGAAGAATCAGAAGTAATATTAATTGTTATAATTATTTTTCAGTTTCGATTAACTTTCACTATACTTATAAGAGAAGTTAAATTAAGAAGGGAAATTAAGATTATAAAATTTTGTGTATAAATAGAGTAATTCATCAAATTATCTTGAGAAGAAATACATTGAAAAGAAGTTTAAACAAAAACTATATGGTTTTCTCAAAAAACTTGCATAAAAAAAATTTAATTTCTAAGAATGATGAGAATAATTTGAAAAATATGAATTTTTTGAATTCGCGCCGAATTATGATATACATGATTTACTTTATTTATACATACAAAGTTTCATAATTTATTGAATTTCCTAACATTCTTTGTTAGTAAAACTTGATTATTTAATGTAATTTATTATTTTCTTAAATAATAACTTCTTTATTTCTTTAATGTACAGACTATAGCTGAAAAATTTTTGGCTGGAGATATGGAAGTAGACGAATTTTTAGAGCAATTTTTATCACGACGAAAATTAATGCATCTACGCAAAGTCAAAGTAGATAAATTAAGGGAATTAATAAGAACATCACATACCACTGCTAGTGGTTCTGGATACCCAATAGCTAGTAATTTTCGAAGTATAGCACCTGCAATTCCTTATCCAACTGGACCCGTTTCAATGCCAATGCCTGTATCATCTGGCTTACCACATTATAGGCCGTATTAAATTCATTTGAATAGAACGTAAATTTAAAGTAGTTAAGTTTTTAAATATTAAATTTTCACTAATATATAAGAAATATGTAATTTTGATTAACAATAATTTTAAGTGAATAGAAAATACAATAAAATATTGTATATTTAAGTGATATTCAGCTATCATATTAGATTTTGTAATGTTATTGTAATATATTAAAATAAATTTCATTTTCTGAAATAAATAATATCGAAATATACAATGTAAATCTTTGCACTGTTTTTAATTTAGGGGTTAATTTAAATAAATATCTTGTTTTGTATTGAAATATTTTTAATCACTATTTCTTTTTATTTTTATACTAGATTCTTAAAATAAATTAAGAATAATTCTATATACATTATTTTTTGTTTTCCTTCTTTCGTTCAGCTTTAAATTGTTTGAACTTATAATTTTCTATGCAATTATTAATGTAAATTCCAATAGAGAAAACTACTATCAGAAAACATATTGTACGATAATCTATCTCCATGGAATAAGGATTTCTCTCTTCACTATTAGTTTTCATGTTTTTTTCGAAAGTCTTCCTAGCTAGATTTGAATAATGAAGTTTTAACCACATGTCAAAATCAAAAATTTTTTTCATAGGTTTACCCGCAGTATGTAATTTGTCCGTGTATTGTGATACATGTTCAGTTTTATATTTATACTTGTGTTTAGTTCTGTCGAGATCCTCTTTAATTAGAATAGTTCTATCATATTGTTTGCGTGTATCATATTTACTGAGTATATCATATGCTTCAGAAATTTCATGAAACATTTCTCTAGCAGATTCACTTTTGTTTTTATCGGGATGATATTTAAGTGTTAATTTATAATATGCTGACTTTATTTCATTGTAGGTTGCATTTGTTTCTACTCCCAATACCTCATAATGTGTTTTAGCTTTTGTTGTCTTTGTACATACCAATAATACAGATTTACTTATACATTTAATGCTTTTATTTACATTTATTATAGACGCATGAATAAACATTGTTAGACATATAATATTTTCAAGTAGGGTGAATAGTCAAGATTTTGTCTCATATTTGCTATTTCTAACATATAACCTGTAAATAAGAAAAAATTATTGAATAAAAATACACTATAATTGTTAATAATAAAAAGTATATGTAAAAATACACTATAAATATTATTAGATTTGTATACTAACATAATCGTATAATTAAATACACTATTCAATAATGTCTGTACAATAGTGTCATGATACATTATATTTATTTGATTAGTTTTTTCTGAATTTAAGAAAAACATATTACAATATGTTTTTTATTTTCAAAAAACTTAATTTTATGCAAGACATAAAAGTTAAAAAATTTTACTTATTACATTTGTCATTAGATTTTAATACATGAACTTACATAAGTAGATGATATACACATCAAGAGAACCAAGAGTTAAAACGCAAATAGAAGTCAGGTACAAATTGATATACCTGACGCATTTATGAATATCAAAACTTTAAATAAATAATTTTGCGTTCTCAAGTTTAAATTTATTCAAGTAACATTAATAAACTAATTAACTAGCTTAATAAAATTTCATAATAAATAAAATAATTTCTAAATTTTTAATTCAAGATTTACGTTTATTTATAAAAATAAATTATAATTCGAGTTACAAGTAACTGTATAAATGCAATAAGTACAAAATATCAAAATATAAATTATATATTAAAAATAATAGTACACATATGTAACACGTAACCATCTTACGATATGTTAAGGCAGATATACAATAGTTTTGTTCGCAATTCAAAGTTAGTCCATAAGTCTTTTTATTTTATGAATTACTCTTTTATTTTATATTAAAACTATCACGCAGTTATATCAATTATAGTTATGCGTATAATCTTTAAGAGCAATTGAAGTGGTGGATTCACATGTAAGTTTAAATGTAAATTCTCCAAAAGAACCATTAAATTTATTTTTGTTGTCATACGATTGTATAGATTAAGTGATGATAAGTATATTAAAAGTTTAAGCCATGTAAAATATTTTATACATGACTTAATATAATTAAGTACCAGTCTAATTATGTGCGTGATCTACGTTCCAGTACAATCTGATTTTTTAATGAGTTAAATAAATATACGAACATATATTCGGCATATTTTTAAAAAAATGCCGAATCGAACCGAAATTGGTAAATAAATGAATTTATTTATTTATTTAAGAAGGTCTCAAAAAATAAATGTATTTTTATTATTTAGGAGTTATTCCTGACAATTTGAGACATGAGGAAACTATAGTTCAAATAGCAGAAGCTCTTGATAATCTAGACTCTGCTGTTAATTATATATTTGAATCTATTGACAAGAGGCTTTCTCAAAATGGTCAAAGGTAATTTTATTCGCACGTTATTACATATCCCAGAAATAAACAATAATGTTAACACATCTCTTTATAGATTGTCAAATGTCAGAAACAGAGCCACAAAACTACAAGACCGATTAAAATATTTGCAAACCAACTTAAATTTAAAAGCTGTAAAGATGTATTCTGCTGCAAGATATCCTGCTAGCCATACGTACAAGGAATATGAATTGGCTATACCACCTCAGTGTGATAATAGCAACAAGATACCAAAAGTTTACAAATGTTCAGTACCTATAAAAGACATTCCTGAAACATATTTGTCTTCTAATTGTAAAACAGAAGATGGCCAATACGTGTCAAATAACAATCTACAGGAAAAGCTGCAATTTTATCATGTTCGATCTAAAGTTAATAAAGAAGTTTATACAGATAGCAGTGAAGTGGCATTTCCTTTTCATTTGTCTTCAATCAATGCACTGTTGTTTAGTAGCATGGATAATCCACACAAGGTATCTATTAAACAAACTTCTCACAAATTAAATGATAAACAGCAAATAGAGGATGCACCAGATTCAATTATACAACCGTGGTTAGCGTCGGAAATAGATGCATCCAGTAGTTATTTATATACACCAACTTTAGGAGAGGTAAGATCCATAAGAATATTACTAAATATTGAATGCAAAGGGGAACAGAGGACATAAAACATTTTGTTACGCAGGTGCCGCAAATAAACGTACCGCTAACCCTTCCGGATTTACCTGGAATCGTGGACGATGAAAAATTTGTTCTGGACCTGAACTCTCAAAGTCCTATCGCGCCGTCTTCAGCGGTCACTACGCCTACCGTACGGCTCGATCTGCCAACTCCAACGTCAACAACGGATGAGAAGGACTCGAGTATAAAACACGACGAAACTATTCCGAATTTACCTGGTTTCGCCGACACCGATTTCTCAAAGGATTCTACGCAACCTACTCCACCACCTCCACCGCCGCCTTCGATCATGCCGGACATTTCGATTTCGACTTCTTCGGACTTCAAGACCGACAGTCGTTCCTCGTTAGCCTCATCGTCGTTAACTCCTTCGATATCACCGCCGCCACCACCGCCACCGCCTCCTCCACCGCCGCCGCCACCTCCACCTGAATCCGAGACTAATGTTCTTGAGCCTCAGACTGCGGATCCGGACAAAAAGAAAACTGTCAAAGATTTGAATAAAACGGATAAGCTAGACAATAGATCGAATTTAATGGAAGCGATTCGTAACGCTGGTGGCATAGGAAAGGCGAAACTAAGACATACCGTGCCACCAGAGGAAAAAGGGAATCGTTGGTCTTCTGCATCCGTTGGAGGTGACTTAATGGCTGATTTACACGCAAAGCTGGCACTCAGGAGAAAAGGAATCGCTGGGTCTGGAGGTAGTGCTCTCGAAAGAATGTCAAGCTTGATTCCTCCTCCTCCTAAACCAAACGATACAGCCGCGTCAGATAGAAATTCGGCTACCAGCGAGTACGATTCCCAACCAGATACCGACGACTGGGACGAGTAATGGATGAACGATATTTTTTTTTTTCTTTTGTTATCATATAACAAATTGTTAGATACATACTAAGTTTCCTATGATAAAATATAATTTGTCGTGGAAATGATCCGATTAAAAGAAATGTTACTATCTATATCTACTTGTGATCTAACTGTGATCTAAAATTATATACAAAGTCTTAAATCCGTTATACTTAAGGACTATAATTTTCATCAAATAATTTCAATCTAAACAATTTACATGTTTGTGTTTTACTCAAGATTGTTTGATCTCTATTGAATCCTTTCCTCCTATCTTCGTATCTTTCAATTTTCTATATATATTCTGGAAGAAAGTGTTGAATTAGACGTAATTGAAAGTAAATCCAAAGAAAAAGCACTCGCCTGTTCTCCGCAATTGAATTACAAATAAATTCCAATAGAATTTTACCATTTTTCAAAAAATGGTATCCTTGTTATTGTCATCGGTATATTCGAAAGGAATATAACGGCGGCATATTCATGTTGTTATCAGTTTTGATTTAACACTTGACCCCAGATTACTGGACTAACTGTCTATATAGGTTTATAAATGTTAGTTGTACCGCAGAATTTGCAGTAATTGCTTGATCGTTCTTGTTTTTTGATGCTCGAGTTACTATCACTTATTAAATTACCAATCATAAAATCATTAATCAGGTTACAGTGTAACTTTAACCAAGTCAATTTTCGGCTTATTTTTACCTTTTTTTGAATGGATGAATTTCTTTATGCACTACAGAATATAAACTATGGATGAAAATTTCTCGAAACGTGTCGTGTCCTATTTACATTCTCTATACAATTTTAAACAACGTGTTTTGAAAGTTTACGGCGTGAAATGTTAAAAATGAGAAATATTCGTGAAAGAGGCACAGGAAGAAATTTACGAAACAGTGGACGAATGTTTGATCGACAGAATCTTCGAGATTAATTAAAAATTAAATTTTAGATTAAAGTGAATGATTCATTAATAAATCAACATCCCGAAAATTTGAATTACAGTGGAACATTATGTGTTTAAAAAGAAGACAGCCATTTCTATTTTTACTAAAATATCAAGTAGGAATTAACTCTCAAAGGATTGAGGAATAATTAGTTAAATTAAAAGTCGAACAAAGAATGAAGGGTAATTTTTACGACGATCTATACATTTTCAACTAAGGTGAGTCAATTTGAAATTGTTGGTATTGCTGTTGATATCTAAGAGACAGAAAGTTTCAAAGAGTAAAATGTTATGAAAAGAAGAGAACGAACGATATAATACATACATATGCATACATACGTATCTGTAACCCATAGTGCAAAAACTAATGGTGCACGCTTTTTGCACGTGACAAGTGATAATATAATGTATCTCTCGTTATTCGACTATGTCTCCCTTTTTTTTTTTCCATTATTTCTTTTTACGTTTCTACATTCGTGTATTGATGATATGACAGTACAAGTTATGAAATTAATTGAGAAAGCGCTGGATAAAAAGGTGACATCAAGTCTTGAGATGTTAATTGGTCATTTTTTCTCTGTTCTCGTGTTTTTCTTCTTCGTTACTCTGATATTTTCTTGGTTTTAGAGATTGCACGTTTCTATATTTCTGTGGAAATTTTTTGTTTAGTTTTATCTCTTTTTTTTTTCTCTCTCTCTCTTGTTAACAGCTACGACAGAATTTCTTCAGGAATTACGATCGTGCGTTTTAATTTTAATCTCTAACAAGCATCGTACAATACACGAATAACGAAAGACGCTTCATTTGTCAAAATAAATCCAATTGTATGATTTATTGAGATGAAATTATTATTTCTCTGTAACTTGGCATTAATTCGTAATTTATGTATATCTAACAACAACTGTTCGCACTCTGTTCCCTGTGATTCTGTTTTATTTAAATAACAATTTAATCAACAATCATTTATAATCAATTCTTTTGCTAACAGAGTATCTACGATTTTGAGAGGTATCATGGGGAGCAGGATAAAAGTGCCCGGCTCCACGGGGTTGCTCAATTCGCGGGCGAACATTTCGAATGAAATAGAATTACCGATTGATATGCGCTTCAACGAAGGCCACATTGTTAGTATTGTCTTCTACAGCGTGTTAATGATAATATCTGCAATCGGAAACACCACGATATTAGTATTAATTATGCGGCGTAAACGTGTATCCAAATCGAGGATACATACGATGCTAATGCATCTTGCGATCGCTGATCTACTTGTAAGTATGCAGTATCAAAATATCCAAAGAACAAAGCAAAAGCAAGATAACGATATGTAACTCTTGTTTGTATTAACAAAAAAAAAAAAAAAAAAAGTTAAAGATCTTGGAACGACGCTACGTAAATTAACAAACAAATTACATTGCAAAATATCCTCCATTTTCCAAAACGATCGAACTAACTCAATGTCCTTTTATATAAACGGACACATACACGTGTTATATGTGATAGAAATTTGGTCCCATTAAATTATGCGAGATGATTTTTCAGGTAACTTTCTTAATGATGCCACTCGAGATTGGTTGGGCAGCCACCGTCTCTTGGAGAGCAGGAGACGCGATGTGCCGGATAATGGCTTTTTTTAGGATGTTCGGCCTGTATTTATCATCTTTCATTCTGGTATGCATAAGTATGGACAGGTCGGTACGAATAATTTCACCTTTCATACATTTTCAATAATAAGTTTTACTTTCTTTCTTTTTCTTTTTTTTTTTCTTTATTACCATTAAATATTAAGTCTTTTAATTTCAGATATTACGCAATAATAAAGCCACTGCAATTATGGGACGTTGACAGAAGAGGAAAAATTATGCTAAGCTTCGCTTGGATCGGCTCTGTTGTGTGTTCAATGCCTCAGGTATGTATCGTAATTATATTATAAATAATTCATGATTTTCTTTGCAATTCAAAATACACGGTATTTTGTTTTTGTTAGATGCTGGTATTTCACTTGGAAATTCATCCAAATATTACATGGTATTCACAGTGTGTCACTTTCAACACTTTCCCAACGTATACACACGAAATAACTTATTCTCTCTTTGGTATGATCATGATGTACTGGTTCCCCCTTGTGGTAATAATATACACCTACACGAACATTCTACTGGAGATATGCAAAAGATCGAAAAAAAGCGAAGATGGTACATTCGAAATTTGTCTGAACAATGTTTTATAAGATAAAAAAGAAAAAGATTATATTTATTTTTCTTGAAATAGTAAATGGTTAATGAGTTTCAGATAAAATACGTCGCTCTTCTGTCGGCTTTCTCACGCGAGCGAAAATACGAACTTTGAAGATGACCGTGATCATTGTTGCCGTGTTCTTCATTTGCTGGACACCATACTACGTTATGAGTCTTTGGTAAATGTGATTGTTCGTTAATACGAACATGTAATTCTAAATTGTTAGATGTAGATTTAAATATAGGTACAGATTAGGTATAGATTTAAATATATCTGAAAATATAAATGAATGTCCTTAGGTATTGGATCGATCGGAACTCTGCGTATAAAGTCGATCAACGAATCCAGAAAGGACTCTTTCTATTCGCATGTACGAACTCCTGCATGAATCCTATTGTTTATGGTGCGTTCAATATTCGAGATCGTAATAAGGTAAATATTTCTTTTATTTCTTCTTCTATCTAAGAACTATTTTATTAAGTATCCATTATCTGATCCAATGTTATTTCAGACATTTGTGAGGCCAACTACTATAGAAACTCGAGTTACTCCATTGTCATTGTCACTTAAGCTTCTTGATTAACGTTTGTCTTTCTATAAGAGATATTAACTGTAATTGTAAGCCCTTACAATTAGCATCAAACTTGACTGTGATTGACCATATACTTCAAAGTTATATTTACTATGATTAAATGCTAAATAATGATAATTTGAACGAGGATAAAGTACGCTGTAAGAATAGGTGCAATAGGTGTGTACAGAATCTGGTGCAAGATATCGCACCTGAGAAGTTCCAAAGTCTGTTCCCAATTGCAACTCTAAGCACATGTATCTTATGCGTATATTTAAAGTAATAATTAAATTATTAAATTTCTCTGTACTATTTATTCGCTTAATTGTATGAAAATTCAGTAAAATTATTTTCTTAGAATAAAGAATATTTATAAAACTGAACGTCTATCTGTTTAAACAGTTAACACAGAAACTCAGCAACCAGACAGACAAATTAGAAAACAGAATTATTACAAATTATATATTTGCTTTATTAGTACATGATCTTCGATAAAACATTTCTTTCTGTCTTTATATTATGCTAAGTAACTTCTTGCCTGAAAGTGCGTTTTAAAAAATGGGAAACTATTACAAAACTATGTCAGTAACATGTTCTCTTAAGAAAAAATCAGTCAAAAATGGAAGCACACATTCTCACATTATATCGATAATATAAGCGAAATGCACTCCAAAATGATTGAAACATTCCTTGAGACGTGATCCACCAATCTCAATAATAATTCATAAACGTTTGTGAGTTTTATTACCCAGTCGATGCAAATATGTGACAAACGAACATTTTTTAATATTGATAGAAACAATATAATAAAACCCGAAATCAATATTATTCACAGAAGCAACTTTTTACTTAACCATGGATTTCTTACATGTTACAAGACATGTTACAACTTTAAAAAACTAGCTTTATCTATCCTTATTTACCAACATTTGAGCGATGTTTAACATATTTGTCATAAAAATACTCGCAAATGTTTTATGCAGTTGATGGATATGCGAATTCTTTCTTTTCTTTATCCCGAGCAAATATAGGTAATATAGGTAATATTTGTTATAAAGAGAAATGATTTTTAATGATTTTATTCTATCGCTCAAAAACTAATTAAAATAGGAGTAAAGTTAAATTCATTTAATGTAAAACCACGACCTATCACCATATTCGACGCTATTAGGCAGTTGTGTAAAAGAATCTCAAACGTAAAGGCATTTTAATAAATTATGTTATTGCGTTAAATAAAAAACAGGTTTCATTAAGATCTTATTGAAGTAAAAAGTTCGTTCATCTCATTAATGAGTTATTCACAGTTTCTGATGTAAGTCTTATTTTAGCACTGTTCAGATTTCACAGCACTATTTTTTGTAGACTAACATTTTATGATTATCACTCTAAAAAAGAATTTGTAGTATGATTTGTACACATTTTTTCATTTTGCACAAATATCTGAACTATTCGTTATAGGAAGAAAGAAACACCATGTATCTTAATCACAATTTGTTGTATAAAAGAAAAATAGCCAATGCGTGGATAAAGTCTTATCAAAAATCTTTAATTCTACATGAAATATCTCATATGCAAACAGCACCAGTACTTACGTTCCTTCACCATTGTGGATGAATTTGATGAAAAGACCACTGCTGATACGTATTATTGATGTCGCATGGCATCAGCGACAACTGTTGTGTTTGAGGATGAAGTGCCATGCACTTTTTGTGCACTCTGTGTAGAAGTGTTTTTGTTTTCTGCAAAAGTAAAGTAGATGAATGATTAGATTAATAAGAAAAAGAAAAAATGACTTAGCGTCATATTTGTTTAAATTTACCTCATCGTATTGCCATGGACCATCTACAGTCCCTAAACGACAAAATACGAATTTCACTCCTTGACTATCGGCGGATATGCATCGTTCTCCGACGCCTAATTGACCTTTCGCGTTTAATCTAATTAACTGAAAGCACAATTATATAAACTGAAATTAAGAATCATAATTAAGAATTTTATTTAAAAAGAGAGACAAATTACCTGATTATTACCAAATCCGTGGCAGTCAGTTGTAGCCATTAAACTAGGAGGAGAATGACTCATTGTATCTAAACACATTCCTGTTGCTACATTTCGCAACTATGATTTAAAAAAGAAAAGAAAGAAATATAGAATCAACAATACACAGAACAGTACACACAAATGTAAGATATTGTAGATAAAATATTATTATTACCTCTCCCCAGTGAATGTTAGGTGGTAGCTCAGGAAACTTATCGAAAACATCGTAAGCGACATTTTCCATGTACCATTGAAAACTTTTGCATCTTTTCCGTCTTTTAAATTCCAATTGTTCTGATATATCGCCATGATCGAGCAATTGTGCCAGTGGTTCCCTCGTGTAAAAGAATTCTTTGTATTTATCGTCAAACCAGGTTTCCACCACCCTCTTGTAGTTCTAGAAAGAGTTAACGATTTTCGTTTTATGTTAAATTGTATGTTATTTCATATCTTTGAATTCAAAATATATGATTTATATGCTTAAGAATGTTTCATTTACTATGGTTATCAGTGGTCCCTTTTTCTTTTGAGCCAATTTTCCAAAATTATAAGGCATAAACCCTCTGTATACATGACCAACGTGCGAGCACGGCACCCAAAGAATGCCTCCTCCACACTGCCATATTTTGAATGATAACTCAAAGTTTTCTCCGCCCCATATAAGTAATCCGTCGTCATATCCACCCAACGATAAAAAGTATTCACGATTTATTGCGAATAAACCACCAGCATGAGTAGGGGACCTGAATTATGTTATTCCTAATATGTGAATACAAAATAATTTCGTTCTATACGCCTAAGAATATTTTTTAAAACATAAATTACTTGTACGGCATGCTGTTATAAGGTCGTGTTTTTTTCTCCCGTGCAGGAAGCTCATTTTCTTTATATAACATTCCCCATTCAAAAATACCTCGATATAAATGCCCTTCTTGATATACAGGTCGGTATTCGAAGGTCTTGTGATCAATGCCATCAATAATGGGAACTGTCATTACAGTCCTAAAAATATTTAAAAGATAATGACAAAGTTTCATTTTCGTATGAGTGTTAGTTTTATTATTTAATGAAAAGAAGTTACCTATCAACAGCTATTGGAGCTAAAAGGGGTGGTAACCAATTAACATTAACTTCACAGTGTGCATCTAAAAACACTATAACTTCGCCCTTAGCTTCACGTGCACCACGTGATCTCGTTCTTATCAAACCTTCTCTTTTATCATTCCTCAATAGTTTAACTTTACCTTCCCATTGTTCTATGTAGGAATCTAAATCTCCTTTTAAATTATCTATAAAAATGCATACTTCTTATCAGTGCCATCTCGATAAACACTCTTATCATAATGTCACAATATTTACCTTTATCAGAGAAGTCATCTACAAGCAAAATTTCTTCCAAAAATTGTGGGGGAGTGCGATTTATTACACTGTGAACAGTTCTCATTAATACAGACCAGCCTTCATTATGAAATACTATAATTACACTAGTTTTAGGGAGTACTTCTGGATAATTCCAGTGTTTACATCTGTAAACAGAATAAATAAATTTAGTTTGAACAGTACAGTACAAAATTGCAAATTGAGAAAAATAAGAAACAGTAGTATTATTAACTTACTCAGGCATTCTTGTATCAGGGATTGATCTATCTAATGAAATTTCATCTGAACATGCTATATTCATGCCATATTCTGATTCTGATTGTTGAACATCATTCTGCTGATCATCCCTAAGGATATAAGGTTTACCTCTCTCTCCAGGTCCATTTTTAATTGATACATGTTTGGGTTCAAAGTTACCAAGATCTTTTGATAGAACTGGAACCTATAAAATAGTAATTCATACAATGATTCATAAAAAAAATATTTATAATAAAAATGTATTTATAGAAGTACAAAAGTACTTGATACTTTAATAATGCAAGATAACTATTGTTTTCTATAGATTCCCTGATCATATTATATTACATGTAATATACTATAGATGATATACTTCTATCATGTTATTTACATGAAAAAGTTACAATGAATAAAATATTATAGTTAATCTTTGCAATTTAGCTTAGAACAAAATTACTTTCAATAAACTGTTGATATCTCTATGTTTAAAAAATTTTATTTACTAATTATGAATAATTTAACATTTTATTTACCTGTTTGGCCTTCAGACTGTCCGACCAATATTCCGTTAAGTTATTGATAGGTTTGTCAGAAAAAAAAATCACAACAACATATAACATATAAAGCGTAAATACACTAGAGACAATAATACTAAGAAGACGGTTTCGTTTCAACTGCACAATTCTCATTTTGTTTAAGACAATTAGACCTGAAATAAAAATTTGACAATGATACTTTTAGAATTCATAATATTATAATTAAACAGTTTAACGTGTTGCATACTGAGAGATGTACATGAATAAATATAAAATGAATAAATAAAAAAAAAAATAGAAAACCGAGGAAGACAAAAATAAATGTAAAGTATACACATACAAAATGCTCAAAATAATTAAAAATTGATAGTTTACAGATTGTTATTGCTTTAATATTGACGTACGATCAAATTATTTGTTAAAATATTGCAGCAAAGTCAGAGATAAAGAAATATCCGAAAATCTCGATTACCTTAAGTAAAAATACATTGACGTGTAGAATGAATTTTAGTAAATGAAATCGTTGAATATATTAGAATGATATTAAAACTTATATCATAATAAACAGAATCATTATTCAAAGAATCTGAAGCTACGTTGCTTCACGCCACGACTTAACGTGTCTTCCGCGCACACTTAGGTGTCTACGTGTAGATGTCTGGCATGCAGATATGTCAAGTTTCATGCACTACGCGCAATCGTCGTTTGTAGATTTCAATTTGTGCAAAATTATATTTATCATAAGGACTAAATATCATCATTTAAGGTTTATACGGTATTGTGCAAATTCGGCGGGAACATTCTACTTCGCTTTTTAATCATAAATTGCACGCTGCAAAATAAATTCATCATTTGAGAACTACATGTATCTTGTACTTTCTCCATATAAGAATATAAGTACTTTCTAGTTGCTACATACATAAATTCCTTTATATGCAAATGCTGAGATCTTTATTTATTAAGTAGCATTAAAAAGTTGTATACGATGACTGACTTGTAACGCAGAAGTATGAATTAAGGTACGATGATTTAAGTAACGTGTAATACAATTTTATCGTCAAAATTAAATAGACACAACGATTTTTACAATTGATATTAAATGAATATCATTTCAGTAGTATCACTGTTTTAAACTATTTAAAATTTTATTTCATTATCTTTATCGGATCTTGCAAAGTGTGGAATTAAAAGAAAGCTGATCTGTCAAATATATCTGTATCTTATCCACTTTGAAATATTTGAAGATTTGAAGAAATACTTAAGATTTTATGAGTATTCTTTTTTCGATTATTAGATCGAAGGTCTTATTCTTTGATAACAAAGAACTATAGCGCATTGATCTACAAATTTTTGATATATTTATTAAGATTATTGCGATGTTTCATTTTTTTATTAGAAAATGATATTTAATATTTTCATTTAGTTGCATATTTCGCATTAAACATAAATATTTTTTTCTCATTACTTCTGTTTCTTTGTCTCTCAGCAATCTTAATATCCCTAACTTTAATAAACCTCGTCAGAGGGCGCTGACGCATTATGACGACCAATCAGAGGATTAGACAGCTTCGAATCGGTGCCGATGTTCCGGCAGATGTGGATTTTGTTTATACTTTCAAGTGTGTTTTACGTTTGATCGCTTAACGTTCACTTCTCGACTCGAAGTGTACGGTGTACGTAAAAATTCAAACAATGTTTCGCACAGTTCAACGAATACCGACAATATATTAAGTAACGTTGGTGTAAGATTGAAATAATATATGTTTTCACGTTGAATGCCATCGATATGAAAGTGTACGGTTGCATTCTCCTTTGTTATTGCATCTGCAGTAAACGTGTATGAAATACGATCGCTGAATAAACGTCAAGGAGCGAATGAAATCGAGTATCGCGAAATTATTCAAGTATTGAATTGATTGTCGTTATTAGAAGTTAATTGCGAATTTTATGATTAGTTATTTGGAGCAGTTAAAATTAAAACAAAATTATTTTTTTTATTGTATTAATGTACGCACATGCAGATGCATAATTAATATATTGATAGTTCATTTTTTACCATAAATCTAACCAAGCAAAGTTAATTTTAGAAAACTTTCATTTCACTTCATAGACTTTTTTATATCTTGAAAATGTAATTTTTTTAATTTATCAAATTTTGTTAATATATTCTGAAATATCTGATAATTTTGTTAATATATTCTGAAATATCTGATAATTTGTATTTTTTTTTATAGATTTTTATTACTGTGCGATTTATTGCACATGCAGTACTAAGCTTAAAATTTGGCTGCACATTCTGCATTTGAAAATTTATTCTATCTTGCATTCAATCTCTTTGCAAACTACATTACCAGAATTGTAAAATATTGATTGTACTATTTTTACTTGTGTAAAGAAATAATAGTGTCATTTATTGAATACTGTCCTAATTAATGTGTAAAAATGGCATCTTCTGAAATTGATGATTTTTTGTCTGGACCTTTGGTAACATGGGTAAGTTCTTTATTGTCCTAAAATCTGTTGATCCTATGACTCATGGTATTAATTATTCTTAAGATTTTTTCTTAAATATGAAATCACATGAAATAAAATATAATAGTTAATATTAATTTATTATTAATGAAAATTAATTAAGTATATTTTTTATGTAATAGTTTGTCAGTTGCCTAGAGGATCCTAATTCATTAACAAGTTACGATGACTTGGTGGATGGTGTATTATTACACAATGTATTTTTGCAAATGTAAGTATTTCCATGTATGTATTTAGGTTTTGTATTAATTTTCTTTTTTAAGTGTCTGTATTTAATGTCTTTACATGTTTTATATCTTATAGAGATCCTGAACCAGTATATGTTGAAGTAATACCTTCAGAAGGAAGTTCATTAATTCGCACAAAAAACTTGGAGGTCATAGTGGATAATATGAAACAATTTTATGAAGAGGAATTAGGTCATATAATCTTGAAGTTACCAGATACATTAAATTTAGGCAAGGAACCGCAACTATATATTTCCGAAATGAAATTGTTGTTATTGTTGCTCCTTGGTTGTGCTGTACAGTGTCCTAACAAAGAAAAATTTATCACGAATATAAAAACGTTAAACGTTGATACACAACTTGCAATAGTCGAATGTATTAAACAGGTATGCTTCTTAGATTTTTATAATTTAATTTATATATTTTCTACTATTGTTTACGTTACATAAGTTCAAGAATTTTGATATTTTACTAGGTCACAGATTATCAAGACATAGTTATTACTCAAGATGCAATGGAAAATGTAAATATGGGATGTTTATTTGTACAAATAAAAAAAATGACTCAAGAATTAGATTTATATCGTCAGGTAATTTTATTTTGTCAATATTGTCGTTTAACAAAATGTATTGATAAATTATAAAGCATTGCTGATGTAACAGAAATGGAGAGACACTATCATAAACGAGAGTATTGAAAGAAATGATTCGTCAATTAGTGTAGAGACTGAAGAAATGAACAAAGTGCAGCAGTCTAATCCTATTGTTAAATCAGAACGCGAAGATAATCATCATTATGCAGTTGAATTGGCCGACTGGAAATCAAGACTTAGAAAACAACGACAAGAATTGTATATATTGGTGTATATATTGTTGTATAGTTTCAATTATTTTTATGCTTGATCTAACTTTTTTTTTGTAGAGAAGAAAAAACAGAAGCATTATTGGAAAGTAAAGAGGAACTCGAATACCTTAAAATATTAGTAACTAAATTAAAGCAAGAGGTAAGACATTTCCTATATATACTACTTTCTTTTAGTAAATTTTGAAAATATTTAAATTTTTATTATCGTTTTAGAACCAAGAATTAATGCACGAAGCACGCACAGCAAAGTCTTATAGAGATGAATTAGATGCAGTAATTGAAAGAGCAGATCGTGCTGACCAATTGGAATTAGAAGTAGTAAGATATCGGGAGAAACTCACGGATATAGAATTTTACAAAACTCGAATAGAGGAACTACGCGAAGACAACAAGTATTTATTTCTTTTAAAGTATAATTCAATTATATTTTCTTGATAAAAAATACTACTGATTTATTTTAGAGTTTTAATGGAGACTAGGGAAATGCTAGAAGACCAATTAAATTCATCAAGAAGAAGAGCAGATAAAGTATTGGAATTGGAGTCTGAAATTATTAAGTACAAACAATTATTGAATGATATGGCATTAGAACGTGCGGTTGATAAAGAGAAATATCAAGAGCTAGTCGAAGAAAATACTCAGTTGCATAAACTAACGAAAGCTGCTGCAAATGAAGCTGCCTTAGCTACTTCTATAAGTGATTCTGAAGAACCAGGTAATAAAAAAAATGATTTTGAATACATTACGAAAACTTTGTCCGTCGTATATAAACATAATGCACATTTGTATATTATTTAGCACACGCTGATAATAGATTATCTGAACAATTGACAAATAATGCACAAACACGGGCTTTGAAACTAGAATTAGAAAACCGTCGATTGGTTACTTTAATAGACTCTTTAAAAGAAAGTTCATTTCATGAAAATTCATCTCGTGTGTTGGAATTAGAAAAAGAAAAAAAAAAGCTGCAATTAAAGGTCGATTCGTTAAATGATAACATTGAAAGGCTAACGCAACAAAATTTAGATTTGGAATTGGTATGGAAACAAGCACTTGAGGAGAACAAAAAATTACAAAATTCATTACAAAATCAAAGGACGTCGTCCGAGAAACAACAACAGGAATTTCAAGTATGTAAAACATAAAAATTCTACGCATGATATCTTAATATTTTTATGTTTAATGTTTTCTTTCTTTTGTTTATTAATTTTTAGACCCAACATACAAAATTGATTGAACTGGAAAAAAATTACGACACGACAGTGAAAGAAAAACAACGAGTTCAGTCTTTATTGGAAAGCGTACAAAGACGAGCAGATGATTTAGAACGTAGTTTAGAACTTGCAAATCAAAAAATCGAAGAATTAAAAATTATCGAAAATAACGTAAACGAAATTAATTCCAAGTGTCTTGATCTTGAATCAAAACTTGCGACAGTAGAACGAGAGAAAGATATAGCACTACGTGATGTTCATCGGTATCGAGAAACAATAGAAGTATGAATTTTATAGATATTTTTATTAGATATTGATTAATTGTTTTATAATTCTTTAGTATTCTAAAATTAAAATTTTAAATTAAAATTGTTCGTGGACTGATCTCATATTATACATATAAGTATAATAGAGATCAGCGGAGCTCTGTCTTCGCAGATAATAGATTAGTAATGAGGTATTTCATGAAAATAAGAATTTCAACATCATTTGTCGTCTCTGATTACGGACAACAGCGGATGTCCCTGTCCACGAGAATTGGTTTGAGCATAACTTGAATTATATTACTATATGATATTCCAGTTCATACTCGAAATTATCATGTTCAAATTTTTTCGTTATAAATTATCGTATATTTTTAATTTTATAAAATATCAAATTAAATTTTACACAGTGAAATAAATTTCAGAAAAAAGATGTTGCATTGGACACAGCAACAAATAGTATTGAAGTTCTAGAAAAGAAAGTAACGCAACTTGAACAAGAACTTCATGATTCTGTTACACAAATTTCAAGGTATAAAATATTTTACATGAAATATGTGTGCTTATTTGATACAGGAATGTTCTTTTTTGAAAAATTATTATGTTCTTCCAGATTACAAGAAATTGAAAGATCTAGTAAGGAATTAGATTCACGGGCAGCTATTGATAGAGAAACATTAGAAATTCTACAATCGAGTTTAATAGCTGAAAAATTGAATACACAACAGATGTATGCAATTCTAGAAAAACTTGGCCTTAGTAGTGAGATATTGTTATCACTTTCATTTGATAACATCATTAAAAAGTAACGAAATTTGAGACTTCAAAATATAGTTTGATAAGAATTTTTTAAATATTAATTATTAATTAATTATTACAGGATCGCGCAAATTCCGGAAATTGTTGATTATATAAAAAATACAGATAATTTTTGCTATTATGAAAACTCAGTACCTGAAACTACGAATTCCGAGGATAATGCAACTAGTAATATTCATAGTACATTAAAGGCAACAGTAGAAACGCTTAAAGTATGTTGAAGCTATACAAGTAAACTGTTAAAATAAGGAGATATTTTTCGTAATTTGATAGATAAATGAAATATAATTTCTTTACTTTTGCTTTTAGAGGGAACAAGAACATTTAAATATGAAATTGGCTACTGCACAAGTCGCATCAGAAAATCTTTTGTCTGAAAATGCGAAACTTCAAGTTCAGATAACGACACTACAATCCCAAAGTAATTCTTTAGCAGCACAACATACAGCCTTGCAGCTTGCAAATTCGCAACTTGTCGCTGAGAAAGAAGAGGTGAGTATTGAATTTCTTTCTAAATAAATCTTGCATTATTTTGAATATTGTTTATTAAATTTTTTATGTTAGTTGTTAAAGGAACGTAGTACTCAACAACAAGCGCACACACAACTGGTTCACGATCAAATCACTCTGCAATCTTTGCACGAGCAATTAAACAATGAATATGAAAATCTTTTCCATGAACACGATGCTCTTAAATCAAACTTACGAGATGTAAAAAATGAAATTAGAATGTTACGCGAATCTTATGAAGGATTGAAAGAAAGAAACAGGACATTACTATCTGACAAGGAATCGCTGGTGAATAATGCGAGAAGTTTAAATAATTTGAGAGGAGAACATTCGAAACTGAAGGTAGTAAGCAAATTTTAAAGGATAGATATTATCATTATATTGAATTGTGAATTATTTTAGGACGATTTTAGAAATCTGTACACTGCTACAGAAAAATTGAAAATAGAATATAGAAATTTACAAGAAGATTATAGAAAAAACAAAATTGAAACAAACCGATTAAGTCTTAAGTTAACAGAAATGCAAGGCGAGCTTAGTAGTAGAGATGAAAGATGTTCCAATTTAGAACTTCAAATTAATAAATTAAATCAACGTTGTGAGGTACTAAAATATATTTGCTGAATTATATTTAATATTATATTTACTATTATTCTACACACATTTCATTTTAGGTTCTATTACATATGAATTCTGGTTTAGATAATGATAGGCGTTCTTTGATGGATCATATTACTTTACTCTTTAGTCAATATCATGAACTTCTGACTCATTCTCTTGAAGACAAAGAACATTATCATATGGAAGAAAAAATGTACACGTTAGTATTTGATAATTGCAATACTTACATACATATATTATACTTTCTACATATGACTTCCTGTCACTAACGAGTTATTATTTTATCGTAGGGACAAAGTAAATCATCTATACAGACAAAAAGAAAAATTAGAAGATAAGATTATGGAACATTATAGAAAATTGGAAAGTTGTAGTCCAAAAAAGTAAGTCCATGCATATAATATACATGGTTCATCGTATAATGAAATGTCTAAAATTTTTTAAAATTGTACATTTATAATATATCTTTTTTTACGTATATATTTGAAGAAAAGGATTTGGAGCTAATTTCGTTCGAAGGGTTCGAAAAGCTGGATCAGAATTTCTTAATAAGGTAAACAAATTGATTCAAAGGTATCTAATGCAAACATAAGTTAATGTTTCAATTCTGTGTAAACTAGAATCGACGATCTTGGATGGAAGATTCCAAACACTCGGAAGGAAAAGCTTATGAGTCAGAATCTGGTGGAAATGACTCTGATGTTAGTATAGAAGATCAACGATTAGCAGGTAAATATGCATGAAAGTAAAAACGAAAGAATATTAATAAACTAGTTCCACAAAATCAATTCAAGGATCAACTAGAGGTCTTGGATCAGACGCGTTATCTCTTGGACATCCAGGAACTAGAAGAACAGTATATTACAGCGATGATTCTCCACCGCCGTCAACTACCTTACCAGTATGAATTTATTAATTTACAATTCTGTGATCTTTCTATTTTTTCTATTCTAATACTTTTTGAATATTTGAAACATAAAATTTGAATATTTGCAGGAACAGGGAGATGACAGACGTTCCATATTGTTGGAACAAACTTCACGATCGGAGGTGCAAGCGGAACCTCGACCGGTTCTGATATACAACAAAGTATCGGCAGTTATAAACGAATCAAAAAATCTAAACAGTATTGAAATGAAGGATGTAGGGGAAGAAGAGACAGTGATAGAAATTTCTGTGGATAAAGATTCTAAAGCGGGTAATCAAGTGTGGTACGAATATGGTTGCGTATAATTTTACGTTACTTTCATCTATTTGCTTGTACTTGCCACAAAGATCAAGATTTATTGTACCTCGATTTTTTTACTTTTTAATTCAACGAATATTTTCCACAAATTCGTATGAACGATCGACTATTTCAAAAGACTTTCAGTAGCAATTTTAATTGAGTGTTCACGAGTTCCTAGAAAGTTTTTTATGAAAGTAATATAAATTATCAATTTATTTTCGAATTTCATATTTATTCTAAATATTTGATATTTTTAATACATCATTTTTATTAGCATGATCTTATACATTTATACTGATACGCGTTCATAAAAAGTTGATGTATAATCATGTGCTATGTAAGTGTACATCAGTTTGCAGATAACAAAGCGAAAGCATTTTGTTTTGACAGTGTCATCACTATGTATAATGTATAGTTCAATTAGTTAGTCTATCAGTCATTAAACTAGTTGTATTAATTTTAATGCCTAAATTTCGCATTTATGAAGTATAAAAATAATTAAATAAAATAATTAAAAAAATATATTAAAAAAATTTATTTCTATATGATACTGCAAATAGTGATTAATTTTAACATATTCCTTATTAACAAGGAAGAAAGTGTTTTTTTTTAAATTGGATACAATTTTATATTACAAACGTTTCTGAATCAATAAATCATTTGATCGTTACTAGAGAACCTAATTAATATATTTTATAAAGGCGAATAAGAAATAATTTTTTTATATTTATTCATGAGATTTTTAACATCAAAGAAATTAGCGGATTAAGTGAGCGATGCACCTTGACAAAATCTCACGGTTGAAAATCTCACGAGTTTCATTGTCGAGGGAGCTTCGAATTTTTTGTTATTTTCCTACGGGTCGGGAGCAAGAGGTTCTGGCGAAAAAAAGCTGACCACCGTCTGTTAGAACCCTTTCTGTATTATTTCTCAGGCTTTGAAAATTTGCATACGATGCATACTCAAGGAATTATGTTGCTACTCCATAGATCAGATGTCAACATTTTTTTTCCCTCAACTCGCATTGTTGTAAAGAAACAGAGAGAAGTAGAATTTATCTGAGAAGTAGACTGAATCTAAAAAAATAGAGCTAGTTGCTTATCTATAATTATCAATCTTTGTTACATATTTCTTAGCGTTACATAACTTCATCTTCTTTCTTTTTTTCATTTCCGTTTTAACAAATTTCTCCATTCCACTGTCAGAAATATTCAAGTCTTTATGTTAATAATGTGTTAATGCCTTAATAATAATAAACAAAATTTTGTCAGATAAAAATGCAGATGAACGTTATAATCTTTCTGCGAGATAAACTTCAACGGATCCCTCAACCTCGTCTTTCCCAACTTACCCTTCGACGAGCTTGTCGACGACGAGGGGCGAAGCAAAAAATTTCGCTCGCAGCAGCGGTTGACTGGCAAAACCTCCCTCTCCAGCCTGGTTTTTCCATTTACGAGTATAAAAATCTTTCCCTCTATTTCTACTGGTGTGGAAAAGGTAGGCCAATGGAATGGGAATAGTACGGTGGAAGGTAGGGAGGGCGGTGGTAATAGTAGTGGGTGGACGGGTATAAAAATAAAAGGCAGGAGCAAGAGTAGCAGACTAGACTTAGGAAAAGAACTACGATGCCACTGGCTCACAGAAAAAAAAAGAATGAAGGATCATTCATCGCGTTCATGGGAAACGGCAATGGTAAATAAAATTGTATGCGTAATTGATCTTCGGTTTTTTTTCTATTTTTTCCTCGTACATTTTTTGTTCTGTTTTTAGTCAAATCATCCATTTAGACAAATCGTCTGAATTGTATCAAGAAAATGTAATAAAAAGTGTAAATTCATTCAAGTTTTTTATGTTGAGGTATTCTCCTCATCGAATATATTAACAAAAATTTAGTCGAATTTTTATGGATAATTCCACTAAGGGATTGCAAGGAATAACTTGCAAAAATGTCGACTGTATATGGACCAGTGGTGGGGTAAAGAGGTCGTACGTTTCTTCTAGGGGATGTATGGGATAAGGGGCGGAAAGATAGCTTTTTACAACGCGTTTTCTTTCTGTCTCTCTTACCACCACTCGTTTACCAGGATAGTGAAGATGGTAGGGATGGTAGGGAGACATTTTTTGTACCGGTATCATAGTCTAAGGAGGGGCATACATGTTCTACATTCTACATACATAGCTAGCACGTAGTTACTTAGGTAGAGAAAATGATAAAACTTGTCTGTGAGATAGTTGGAGGATTGTTATGATGTTCAATCATCGGACTAATAACTCGAGAATATTGTTTGTAAGAATTTTCGACAATTTTACATAATTAGCAGTTAACTGGGACGTAATTATGAACATTACAATAAGGAGACTACTGTGCGCTTGTTTTCGAAATTCAATATTTATTAAAAACAAGTCGAATGTTATTTTTGAGTTTTAATGTCAATTCTTATAAAAAGCCATCAACATCAAAATTTCCACACTACTTTGTAATATACTTATTTACAGGCTTATTATCTAATAGCTTTTTTTCTGATTATGTTCATCAGTGAAATTATTTGATCAAGTTGATATTTCCCAATCGCGTGGGAACCAGTATTGTTTCGCGCGTTGTTTCGTACTTCATAATCGTTTGTAATTCTAACAGATTCAGGGATTTTTAATTCCACTTTTCCACATATTCGACAGCCATTAAATTTTTGATGAAACGTAAATCGAATATTCAAAATAATAAATATATTATTTATCTTGGTGCTGAGGATTGGAGAGGATTGCAAGAATTCGACATTTACGTACTTATTGTGGTTAACGCGGTAATGTTCATCGTTCCTTACATTGTCTGGAACTGGTGGGGGCATTGATGGAGGAGTGGGGTTAACCACACGTGAATGTGGCGATAGTGGGGGTAATATTGCACGTTGTGTAGCCGAGTAGAGGGGGCACGGCGCTGACACGTAGTGGAATCACTCGATGGCCGGCAATGTGCACCGCGTCATCGTTCCAAGTGTCTCGCTGCTGCTTTTCAAAGTGTTAGCGCCACCTCTCTCATTTTATTTGTCTCGCTCTAGTTTAATAACAATACTAATTCAAACATACATACATACATACGCATACACCTTCAACACGTTTGCACGAGTACGTTAGAAAAGGACAATCAGTGTAAGGAGATGAATATCAAACTATTATTTATTCATAGAAAGTTACTGCTAGACTAATTTACACGATTCACGCAAGCATTTCAAGTGCTATCGTGTCGATTTCATTGACACGCGATTAACAAGAATATCCTTCCTTTGTTATTTTCTTACTTCTCTTCTACGTATTAAAAATGCTTCCCTCGCTTGACCGTTGATCTTTCATTCACTTCGTTCGATCGCTTGTTTCATCGATTTCATTTGTTGGTCGATGATGTCGAGATATCGCCCGACTCGTTCAAACGATTCTCACTAACGATTACACGTGAAACCCCCCCCCCGTACCTGTGCCGAAGATACAATGACAATATAAATGCATACGTTCTTCGATGCTTTCGAACGCGGCAAACATTGTTGCTCGAGTGCAGTGAGTGAGTATCGCGGGAGGTAACGCCTCGGTGCGATCCTCCCGGGGAGGAAAGAACGAAAAGTGGAGTTGACAGGAGAAAATGGAGAGTCGCGTGCTTGGAGCAACGCCGGAGGAGACTACAGCGGCGGTAACGACAAGCTGCGGTATCGGTACATCCTCTCCAGTGGCAACGGCGCCGATCAACGCGGTTCCTGGTGTCGGTGGTGCTAGCGCCTTGACTTCAGCCACTTGCACCATACAGAATCCCGTGGTCGTGGTGGCGAGCCCGCCAACTAAACACCAGCAGTCTGCTACCGTGCTGTCCACTATCCCTACTATCCCTGCTGTTCCATCCGTTTCCGGTGTCACCGCGGTCACCGCTGCTGTACCCAAGATACTTAGCAGAAACGTCAACGGCACGCGTAAGTCTCTGTTTAAATTTTTATTTATTTTCTATGTATTAAAATCGTACATTTTAATGGTTTACATTACATTATATCTTTACCTACTTGAATATATCTTCTGGTACAAATATTGATAGAGGTTAATGTTATTGTATTTCCATAATGAGGGTTATCTTGATTTTCTTCCAAAGAAAAAGAATGGGAAATTTAAGTTTCTGTTTGGTAACATCTTTGAGGTTAGTGTTAACGACTAGAATAGCGATAGTATTAGTATTTGATTTAATTTTTAATTGCATTAATTTAGTAATTAATACAATCTCTGATTGTGTTAATTTAGCAATTCAAGATCATCGATACTTTATTTGTATTGATGTACAAGCTGACAATTCTCTTATTTTATAAAGATAAATGCTCTTACCGATTTCTCAAAGCAAGTTGTGTTCAGTTTGTTCAAACATGAGGCGCTACCAGGTTAGTGTGTAAAACAAAAGGCCTATTGATCTCTTCTTGCAATTCACGTAAATATAAATTGTTATTTAATCAAGAGATACGTATTCATTATGATTTATGTATTTATTCAATTTTGGTTTATATTTATTACTTTTAAGTAAAAAGTTTAATCCTTTTTAAACTAGTAGGTCTTTTTTTCTGAAAAGTTACTGATCACCAAAAAGGAAATCCGAGGCTTGAATTAACTTGTGAAATTTTCACAAATTTATTGAGAATATAATTATTAATAAAAAAAGAATACATAATTATCTATACGTATAGACACTCAGTGGGGATATTTCAAAAAATTATAAGATGCGCTGAACAATTTTTAAATTCGCTTCAGTTCGCCAGAAAATACGATCTGTTAACTTAATCATTGCGGATAGTACAAAAAAACGATTAAAAATAATCCACGTCTGTCGTCATAATGGCCCAACTGTGTATCTCGATCGTTTTGATTATTTCGTTCCTTGCTCACCTCGATATTAAACATCTCGATTTCCTCGTTGAAAACGTTCCACTTTTAATGTATCTAAAAGATACACGTATACACACAGCACGCTTACACAGAGTGTGTGTGTATGTGTGTGCTTTGTGTCTACTCCTACTCGGATAGGAAGAGGCATGACTCAGGAAACGGATAAAAAGCGTCGCGCCGGGCAAAAAGACGCTTTTTCTTCCGCCATCGGTGAGCAACTATTGCGAGAACGGTTTTTGTCACTTTCTTACAAGACGAAACAGCGAACGCAGGATAGAACAGTATAGAAGGTGAGCGCGAGCGCGCTGGAGTTGACCATTGCAGACTAAATGGTAAAAAAGCGCTGCGCGTTGGGTTTCGCGGTTTTGTCCGGCGTTTCTCCGAAAGTTGAAATTGCGAGACAGAGAGAGAGAGAGAGAGAGAGAGAGAGAGAGAGAAAGAGGATATCTCTCGAAGACGGCAGTTGGTCTACTGGCTGCAAATGGCTGCGTCTCCTTTTTCCACTCCCTTTCTCTTTCTCTCTTTCCCTGCCTTTTTCTCAATTTCTGTGTTTCTTCTGTTCCGTCTTTTTACTCCCCATCTTATATCTTGCCTCGTGTCGAAACATCAAGGAGAATCATTGCACGCGTTAGACACACTGCTCTGTAATTTCTAAACACCGAGGTTAAAGGAGAAAGAATTCGTCTCTGCTGAAAAAGAAAAAGAAAAGAAAAGAAATTCCTATTCCTTCAGACCCTGTGTTTACATCACATATTCATGATTGTAATAAAACACTGTTAGGGAAGAGAAACACGCGCGTTGTGTCCGAATAAATGGAACATTCGGACAGTAGATCTTCGTATACTGAAAGGTTCCAAAGTACACTGCTTTTTTTTTCGTCGGCCGAACGTTTCGTAATTCTCGAGGAATCGAAAGGTTAGGTCAAGTTGTTTTTTTTTCAGTTTCTGGTTCTTTTTTTCTTTTCTTTTTTTCTTTTTTTTTTTTTTTTTTT